GAGAAAAAGATTTTCAAAGAATTAATGCATTTTCACTATATAATCAATAGAGCCCCGCCCTAACACCAGAACCCCTGACCCTGGGGCCATGAAATTCACAATTTTGGAAGAAGCACTCTTGCTCATCATAACTAAATACTAAATTAGTTCATTTCATAACCAGGAGCAGATAAGAAGATTTTCAAAGAATTAATGCATTTTAACAATATAATCAATAGAGCCCCGCCCTAACACCAGAACCCCTGACCCTGGGGCCATGAAATTCACAATTTTGGAAGAGGCACTCTTGCTCATCATAACTATGTACTAAATTAGTTCATTTAATACCCAGGAGCAGATAAGAAGATTTTCAAAGAATTAATGCATTTTAACTATATAATCAATAAAGCCCTGTCGTAACACCAGAACCACTGACCCTGGGGCCATGAAATTCACAAATTTTGGAAGAGGCACTCTTGCTCATCATAATTATGTACTAAGTTACTTTATTTAATACCCAGGAGCAGACAAAAAGATTTTCAAAGAATTAATACATTTTCACTATATAACCAATAGAGCCCCGCCCTAACACCAGAACCCCTGACCCTGGGGCCATGAAATTCACAATTTTGAAAGAGGCACTCTTGCTCATCATAACTATATACTTAATTAATTTATTTAATACCCAGGAGCAGAGAAGAAGATTTTCAAAGAATTAATGCATTTTCTCTATATAATCAATAGAGCCCCGCCCTAACACCAGAACCCCTGACCCTGGGGCCATGAATTTCACAATTTTGAAAGAGGCACTCTTGTTCTTCATTACTATGTACTTAGTTACTTTATTTAATACCCAGGAGCAGAGAAGAAGATTTTCAAAGAAATAATGCACTTTCACTATATGATCTATATAGCCCCACCCTAGCACCAGAACCACTGACCCTGGGGCCATGAATTTCACAATTTTGGTAGAGGACTCAATGCTTATTACAATGATGCCAACAGTTTGACTGCTTGATGTCCAGGAGTAAAGAAGAAGATTTTTAAAGATTGCATTATTTTTGGTGGTTTTAGCCCCACCCCTCAGGCCCCAGGGGGGCAGGGACCATGGAATTCACAATTTTTGTTCCCCTTCACCCATAGATGCTATATGCCAAATTTGGTTGAAATTGGTTGAGCGGTTTCAGAGAAGAAACTAAAAATGTTCAAATGTTAACACACGACGCACACCGCACGACGCACGCCGACGGACGAGAACGGATAGCAATAGGTCACCTGGGTGACTCAGGTGACCTAAAAAGACTTATTGAGTTTGAGTTCAAAAGGTCAGAGACCAAAGCAATAGAAAATTATCTATTACATCAATAGTTTTCAGGTGATAACTTTAGTTTTTTGTAAGTTTTTGCAATAAAGCTCAAGGTCATAATTTTTTTTAACTTAAAAAAGACCTCTGTTGACTTTCAGACCAAAAGCTGAAAGGTCATGGTTGCCCTTTCTTTCTCCATTTTTTTTCAGTTCTTCCATCCTCTTCTTTTTTCCTGAAGTGGGGGACACGAATTCCCTGAATTAGCTTGTTAACATTGAATTTCATAAAATTCGCTATTCACAAACACTTTTATGTGCATTAATTGGAATCGCATTTTTGTTATTGAGAAAGAGCTTCAAAGAAATCACTTCACGTCGTGAATTGAATCATCCATATAACTTTGGGATATATATATATTTACATTTCCAAGTATTTTTCCTTAAGATTCTTTGCAAAATAGATGATTGTTCATTTTCTCATGAACTACCATGAGATGAGCAAGAATATCTCCATTGTGACGACATAATATCGTACTTGACGTCAAAACTATAGTGCAAACTGTTTTGCTTAAAAAATGACAGTTGAATGGCGTAACTTGTGGAAACTCATCAGAAAAATAATGTAAATATAAGAAATGAATTTAATTTTTGAAGATTCGCTAACGCGCTTCATGAAATATGCCGGCGTGAAGCGTCGTAGTTCATGTCCTCATGAATCTTCAAAAATTAAATTCATTTCTTAAATGTCCCTGATATGAATGTGTAATCTTCTAAGAGATTTTTTTTACATGATCATTTTGTTGAATTCCTGAACTGCAAGAATAATGGGAGTTTTTTTTGTATATATTTGGAAGTTTTGCCTTTCATACTACAGGACTTGGTCCAAATCCCTGGACAATAAATTCAGAGATTTACCCGTTATGGGCGAGAGGTACAGGAAATTCCATAGCAACGGCTGTCAATTGGGTGGCTAACCTGGGAGTCTCGTTTTCATTTCTGACATTTCTTGAAGCCATCACTCCTTACGGTAAAATGATATACGTATTGTAATAGTGATATCTTACTGTACGATATTAGTCACTCGAGATATTCTAGAGGAAAATGTGAAAAAAAGTCTCATTATTTACATGTTAGTCACACACGTAAAATAAGACTTAACTTAATCAAATATGTATTTGAACGACTTTCTGAAAAGACTGGAAGAGTATTTAAGAATTATATCGGGTTCCAGGTATATTTTTCATGTATGCGGGAATTTCGTTTGTCGGAATTACACTTTTTTTCTTGCTGCTGGAGACTCAAAATAGATCCCTGGAAGAGATAGAGAATTTATTTATGTCTGAAGAGTACCGAGTCACAACGGATTTACAGAGACAATGTATGGTCCAGAGTGCAGTGCTTTATAGGGATGTCCAACATGCGGAGTAAAAACGAACTGTTAACGTTTAAGGGGAAGAAGGACCTTTAGCTGAAAAAATACTTGTCATTCATTTTTTTTTTAATTTTGTATATTTCTAATTAAGTATGCCCCATATATCATAAAGCATTTATATCATTAGGTTTCTTACCTTATTTTAGAGATATTGATTGATAAATACTATGCCCTACAGTGGAGTGGAGTTTTTAATTCTCCATGTTTCCGGGCTCATTGTCCTGTCCATAATGGGATTTTTCAAAGCATATATAAAAAATATGGAAGTGAACATGTATCTTTTAAAATATTTCACCCTTGTAGACATGGATGCAAGACCATAGGGTTTAAAATTCGAAAAAGCAAGTTTCTTCTATTACACTGCATCTGGATAGGGAAAATTAGGAACTTTTAAAAAAAAAAACTTAAACAACAAAAAACGTAATTTACAAAAAAGTCTATCATTCAATTTTTTAAAATTTACGTTGAAATGCAAGTGCTTGAAATTATCGATTAACTGTAAAACTTTCGAATGGTGAAGCTGACCTCAATATTGCACAGGAAATGGTTAAGCAGGACAAAAACTTGTCATGTATACATTTCTGGAGTACAGGAAAAACCAACTATGACGTCACACGTAAGCTTAATAAGATATATACCTACATTAGATTTCCGTCATCAGCCATGCAAAAATAATTTTTGTGTTCCCTGTTTCTCAAAATATTTCATCATATACTGATTATGAACTATTTATACATAATAATACCGCCCCTGTATTCATCGATTATGAACTTGCTGTACTAACGGATCGTGTATGACGTCACCGACTTGTTGAACGCGCAGTTTAGGAAAACAGAGGAGTGGATCAATCTCTTTTCTTTTAAAATTTGTTAATGTTTACAAGAATGTTAAACTTTTCATTTTATTTATATAAGATGGTAATTAAAGAAAAAAATTGCCAAAACATTATACAAGAACTGATGCTTTCCACGTTTGGCACTTGTATAAATGGAGACTATGACGTAGTTTAACAGAGTCATGGACCATGTGTCCTTCATCCCCTTAAGGTCAAGATCTAGTAAATGACTTTAGACTAACTTTTTGTGCTAGATCCATTATGACGTCATAATCAATTTTAACTTTCTTTTTTCCCGTATTTTACGGCTCTAGTAGAATTTTGTAGAAAATAAAGTATTTTCATGGAATTCAATTTGAAATCATGTGAAAAGTAATCCTGATACCTATATTCAATTTGATATTATTTTAATGAAGAGGCCAAGAACATACAAATTATCGTTTTCTGAGAGACTGTAGGCAATCTGGATGCATTTCTTTGTCTGATTTGGATAAAAACTCTCGTATTCATGACTGTTTTTCTTAATTTTTCATTGAAAATGACAGTTACAAATATGATTTTTTCGTCTTGTTCATCTACAAATTGTGCCCCGAAACACCTTGTTTGACCAATCTAAAGTTATAAAGCACCATTAAAGGAATTTATTTCTCAAATTTGAGAAATCTGTAGGCATCTTTCATTTACTAGATCTTGATCTTAAAAAATTAAGTGAGCACCCACAGGTGTACATATATTACCTCTCATATTATCCCATGTATATTCAGTTCAACTGATGTATTTTAACGAAACAAAGTATTAATTACTGTATGAACATTGTACTTTTTCTTAGTCTTATCCATTTTTTGTACAATTTATGTAGAGATGTAACTTTTGTTTTGATGTTATTGTTACGTTAAAACGTCACTGATGAATATCAAATGAAACAAGCATTCTGAGAGTATTGCATTAGCAATACTAGTCCCCTACTGGCAAGTGTAATCTGGTTCCGTTCCCGTTAAGAATTGAAAATGCCATAATTCCGTCAAAAATTAATGAAGCGGGACGAAATGCAAACTTGATCTATAACTAATCAAGGTAAAGTCACATACCAAAAATCAGCTCAATATCTACAAGCGTTGAGAAGAAAATTGTGGAAAACCTGTAAAAATTGAAAAGGTCGTAATTCCGTCAAAAATCAATGAAGCGGAACGAAATGCAAACTTGATCTGTAACTCATCAAGATACACTCACATACCAAAAATCAGCTCAATATCTGCAAGCGTTTAGGAAAAAAGTGCGGAAAACCAAGTGGGACAGACTGACAGACAGACAGAGGGACAGACAGACAGACAGACAGAGGGACAGACAGACAGACGGACAGACAGACAGACAGACGGACGGACAGACTCAGAGGAAACCTATAGTCCCCTCCGGTTTCACCGGTAGGGGACTAATAACTTACAAGAAATATATAACAACATAATTTATTCCATCCTATAAACATTCAATAAATATCAAAAGTTCTGGATTCAGTATAAAACTGTCCAATAGTGATTAACAATTAATTATCTGATCCCAGTCTATATAATTAGAGTACACCTCCATTTCTAACCATCGTTCATAGTTCTGTTTGAATTCCTCTGTCAGATCAACTTCTTCACCTAGAACACTGAGTAAACAATTGTCAACAGGTTTAAAGTCGGGGTCAGCGCTGTGTGGATTATACCGTCTCTGATTGAATCTGTCCACACACGCTCGTAGGGCACATTCCTCTGCCTGAAAGTCCCAAGGCCTTGCATCCATGTCTACAAGACATACATAAATATTCTTGTGTATACTCCTTCATCTTCAAAGCATACATATACAGTGAAACCTGTCTAGTCTGTCATGCACTGGGACACTTTTGTGTCAGAATAGATGTCTGATTGCACAGTGTAAAGGACATAGAAAATGGTAAAATAGGAATGAATATAAAGTTTAGAATTCACAGTGAAATGGATTGCACAGGTGTCAGATTAGACAGTTTTTTTGCATATCATTAATTTCCTACCAACTCTTACTTAGAAATCTTTAAATAATTATTTAATTTTAACAATATCCAAAAGCAAAACGTAAACAAAACTCCAAATCATGAATTACAGAAATAATACTCTGAAGCCATACCATTGCCGTAAGCCCAGTCATCATTGAGTCTGTGTCGGACTTTCTGATAGATGGCAGACATTGTCTTCATGTTACTTTTCCTCCACTGTCGACCAAGGTATTTTGTCTGCATCTTCAGAAGCTTCAGCACGTACAGCTGCATCATGGCCTGCTTCACCTTCAGGGATCTCTTCAGGATTGGGGCTGATTTAAATACTACTAACATCTGAAACAGTGAAATAATTAAGAGTGGTTTAAAATGTAACAACTAAGATGTACAGTAAATGTAAACATGTTCTTGCTTCTCAAATAATATATACAATTTACATGTAGATTTGCTTTTGCTATATTCAAGATGGAATTTGAAATTGGGAATAATTCAAAACCATTGGGAGGAAAACAAATATTTTTGTGTTCCATCACTGAAAAGTATCCCAGAATTCATTATTCCTCCCAAAAGTATTTTAATACAATCCACGATACATAAGTACATGTTCTATCAAAAGTAAGAATTATGTGAGGAATAACAAATTGGTAATTTCATTTAACTGCTGGCCTGGACATTAAAAATGGTAAATATGTTGAGGTACTCTTGTTTAAGTAAGCTTTACCATAGTCCTAGAATGTTTCCATTTGGTGAGTTTGTTGAGTATCCTTAACAGATTGATACAGGAGAAAAGATTCCTCCAACAGAAAGCCTGATTGTCACCGCTCTCCTGTTAAAAAAAACAAAACACGTCTTTGTCAATTTTTACATCTTAAGCAACATTAAATTTAGTATTCTTTTAACATGACTTCTAGGTGAATATTGACAATCTGCTATAATAATACACACATCTTCTAGTTCAAGTACTACCTAATAATCATAAACCTTGTCAGATTCTAATCAATGACATATCGAAGTGAAGAAGCATAGTTTTAGTTAGTTTCTTTGTCAATTTGATCTTTTATGTAGTAACTACATGTATATACAAGATATCAGTTATTTTACTTACTAAAGCTTCTGCTGTAAGTTCTGGTTGCTCCCCAATCACAGATCCTGGGTAATCCAGACATGGGATACTGAAATATAAATAATCATAATAAGATTAATAGGTAACATGGGGGGAAGGGGGTGTTAGATTTAGAATATTCATTTCTGCCTTTGATATTCAAATCTCACCTGTTTTTGGCAGTAACATATGACAGTATGTTTTGATTGAAAAATTTCAGCACCAGTGGTATACAATTTGCAAATACAAGGTGTTGGCTCATGAATTCAAACTGAAAGTACAACATACATCGATATTTTATAAATTTCAAAATAGAATGGACTTGGTTAGAAAGCTTAGTTTTCTTTTTTCACACTTTAAAAACTTTAATAAGGAAAAATTTCTGGAATGCTGTAGTGATTTATCTCCCTTGCTACAAAATCAAACACTCACTTGACACACATGGTCTAAGTTTGAAGTGTTTGAGTAGTAACAACAGAAGGCCTGATCTTTTATACACTCACTTGATATACATAGTTGAGTTTGAAGTGTTTTAGTATTAGCAGCGGTAAAACCTAATGTTTTATAGACTCACTTGATACACATGGTTGAGTTTGAAGTGTTTGTGTAGTAACAACAGAAGGCCTGATCTTTTATTTACTCACTCGATACACATGTTTGAGTTTGAAGTGTTTTAGTATTAGCAGCGGTAAAACCTAATGTTTTATAGACTCACTTGATACACATGGTTGAGTTTGAAGTGTTTGAGTAGTAACAATAGAAGGCCTGAGATTGCCTTTACAATGATCTCTTTGTGTCGATTCACATCAATCCCCAGCTTCATTGACTGTAGAACTGTTAATCTGCCAAATATATTTGTTAAAATGTTTAAAGGCAGAGTAATAAATAGAACCCCACAAATTAAAAATCTGCTGTTAAGTACTGTAAATGTATTCTATTTGGCATGTATGATATTTAGAAAAATTGATTTTTCAACAAGTTAGTGTAGATTTGATTTAGCTCTTTTTGAATGTACTTTACATGAACATATATACTTAAGAAATTTAACAATTGCTAGATATAGCGGAAGCTGCATTCCTCGAAAGGAGCTAAAAAAAAAAAATACTCAGCCAAATGTAATACCCTTAAAGTAACATACATTGTATACAATTATCTACAAAGTGGCTATAAATGAAAACTATGGATATCTTGAATACCATGGATATTTCGAAGTGATTTGGAAGTCCCATGCACTGAATATTTTAAGTATTTTACCCCCAATATTTCAAACCCTTTGATATCTAGAATTTTATTCTTGGTCCCATTGAGTTCGAGATAATGAGGTTTGACTGTATATTGTGCAAAAATAATATAAAAGTATACTGGATGCTCCTTAAGTCAAGAGTGTATTAAAACTTTGCAACATATTTTCCATTTTTTTTGCATTATTTTCAACAACAGTGATTATGTGCTATCAGTAGATGAATTTCATACATGCTTGTGAATAGATTTATATTACAGCACTACTTGCTGCCAAAATATACCTGCTCAAATACATGTAAATAAACCTGTTTAGTTATGTAAATCACCCTATAATAAACAGTAAATTCTACCCTTTATATCAATGAGATACTTACGGCATGACCTCGGGGAGAACATCAGACAGGATGTTGATGGAGTCTGTCTTGGTTTTGGAGGTCGGGGCAGCAGCCAGTAAAATCTTGAGGAGGGCTATCATGTACTGGGGGAGATTTGGGAGGATAGCCTGAAAGAGGACCTCCACGGGGGTGTTCTGTACATCTGTCTCTGGCTGTCAACGAAAAACAAATAACATAAAAATAATGTTATACAGATGAACTTCAGTATCACAATTGTTCTTAAATACTATGGCTAAGTTGAAGTAGGTTGGAAGTCTTAATATATTTTAATATCAATATCTGGAACCCTTGGATATCTTAAAAGTTTTTTCTTGGACACATTGAGTTCCAGATAATAACGTTTGCCTGTATATGCATTACATGTATCTGTCACATTTTTTTTTCATTAACATTAATGCATCCTCATGAAAATATATTTTTTTTCTTATATTACCTTTGAAAAAGGATTTTTGGCAATTTCCTCTTCTCTTTTGATCTGAATTTCTGTGAGTGATATGTACAAGTGCTGAAACAAATGAAAGAAAATGTGAGCAAGCTCACATACCCCACACTCCCCCAAAACTCAACAATGCAACACATAATGAATGGCATAGTGCATCTTAAATACACAGTATAATAATTCAAAAAGGGGCATTACTTGCAAAAAATCATCACATCAAAACTTCTTGCATATAAGGACATTCAAATCTTTGTATGTTACAATTTAACTGGGCCAAAGTTTCTAGATAAATAATGGAATCAAAATTTCTTGGTAATATGCAAATCTATACATTGTCTGAAATACCTACAAAGCTTCAGGAAATTCAGTGCAGGAGTTATGCTGACAAACTGTTATTTAAATTCCTCAGTGATTTCGATTTGTTAACGAGTGTAAGTCCATGTCCAACACATGACAATTTACACATTTATATAATTGATGGAAACAAAATTATGATGTAGTCATATGAATTTGTTTATATACTGTACTTATGAAATTATTTAAGCCAAAGCATCAATATGAGAAGGGGGGGTTGGGGGGGTTGAGAACTAGCTAAGATTGTGTGTGTGTGTTAAATCATTAATATTTTGATCTCAGAATCAATAGGGTTCTTTTAAGGTTATAAAATATTTCACATAAAATTTCATTACAAAAGCTGATTCCAGTGGATTTCCTTATTACCTAGCTGGAAAGTTTCTTCAATAATAGGCAAAACTCTTAAGGCAAAAATAATGGAATCAGAATTTCCTGGTAATTTGCACATCTACACACTGTGTGCTAAATATCTGCAAAGTTTGACCAAATTCTGTGCAGCGGTTTATGAGGAGTTGCGCTGACAAACTCTTCATCTCTATATTCAAGATATATGGCCAAAAATCTAAGTTGAAAAGTGCCGAAATTCCCAGAAAAAATAATGGAATCGGAATTTCCTGGTAATATGCACATCTACACATTGTGTCCTAAATAACTGCAAAGTTTGGTGAAATTCTGTGCAGCGGTTTAAGAGGAGTTGCGCTGACAAACTCTTCATCTCTATATTCAATCTAAGTTGAAAAATGCAAAAATTCCCAGAAAAAATAAAGGAATCGTAATTTCCTGGTAATATGCACATCTACACATTGTGTCCTAAATATCTGCAAAGTTTGACCAAATTCTGTGCAGCGGTTTATGAGGAGTTGCGCTAACAATCTGTTCATCTCTATATTCAAGATCTGGCCAAAAATCTAAGTTGAAAAGTGCCGAAATTCCCAGAAAAAATTACAGAATCGGAATTTCCTGGTAATATGCACATCTACACATCGTTTCCTAAATATCTGCAAAGTTTGGTGAAATTCTGTGCAGCGGTTTAAGAGGAGTTGCGCTGACAAACTCTTCATCTCTATATTCAAGATGTGGCCAAAAATCTAAATTGAAAAGTGCTGAAATTCCCAGAAAAAATAAAGGAATCGTAATTTCCTGGTAATATGCACATCTACACATTGTGTCCTAAATATCTGCAAAGTTTGACCAAATTCTGTGCAGCGGTTTATGAGGAGTTGCGTTGACAAAAAAAACAGGACTGACGGACTGACTGACTGACACACTGACTGACTGACTGATGGACGGGTCAAAAACATTATACCCCCCGCAACTTGTTGCGTGGGGTATAATAATGGCTCATTTAGGAATGATATTTAGCCTTAAATTTCAATGCAGAATACAGTGTGCTATTTTTTTTTAACTGTAAAAAGCAACTAATCAAACATGCATTATGAAAAGATCAAGATCAAATGTAGCTGCAGATCTGTAGCTCGTTGATCTGTAAAAAAATGGGAGCCCTTTGGTTGTCCATCCAATTTTTTTTCCGACCAACAAGCTGCAGACCTGCAGCTAGAACAACATCATGTGGATATACATTTATATGCATATAATACTATGTGCATGCATAAAAATCAGAAGTACAGTTCTGTTGACTTGCTGACCTCTTTCAAGACCTTGACCCCTTCATGTATGGGATGTGGAAGTCCTGCTAGGGAGGACATATCATTCTTCACTTGAAATCCAACAAACTTCATTCTTGTGGCATCCAAAAATTGCTCCAAATCTTTCTGCCTGTTTCAGTACATATTATGAAAAAGTAATTTAATTCAAGTTTGCTTGATTCTTTTGAAAAATATAACCAAACACACCAATATATGATTTCAATTTTTATTCTATAGGCCATGACTTAGAAATTCAAGTCTTTTCTTGTTAAAACATCATTTTATTTTTACCTGACTTTTGGTTTCCATGGTAGTATTTTTTGCTGCATCACTGTGGGGGTAGCTGGTCGGGGTGGGGTGGGGGGCATATCCTCGTCACTGCTCTGTCTTGCATTCCCGTCCACGTCATTAAATATATTGTCCTCTCCATTGGAGTTTTCGAACGGGTCACTGTCAAGGCTACTCTGTTTAACCAAAGTCTTGTGTAAGGCGACGCGGAGGCCGAGAGAGAGATAAGTAGAGAGGCAGGCACGAAGAGAGTTAGAAAGCAAGCATACATTAGCCAGGATGCACATATTAGTATACTGAATATATTGTACATCACATGTATTAAACAAACAGTCCCATCACCTCAAAGCAATAAGTGTGCAATTTCAGACAGTGCTTGGATTAAAAGTGAAAAAAAAAGAAACCTCAAACTCTTGCTTCAGACAGGCTCATACTGAATAAACTACACGTATATCTAATTTTGAAAAAAAAAAAAATTTTCATAAGTTTTGTGTTAAGCATTACAATAAAACAAACAGAATATTTCCTTTTGCAACTTAATGTTGTGTCAATGCAATTGCTTGACCATCTCTTGATGTTTTGAACAGATATCAATAAGAGTTTCTCAATTGTTAAGAAGCTCCGAGCACTATCTCAAATCTCTCTACATTCTGCTGATTAATTACTGAGCATTCAGTGACTAATTAATACAGGTACATGTATATATCATAAATAATTGTTTGTTTTCTTTGCAAGCACTGTTAAACAAATCAACTTGTCATATGGAAGCATAATTTTAAATTATTCTAAATAATAAAGATATTCATAATAATTTGAAAAAAAAAAAATCATTAATTTGTTAATTATTATTGAAATAATGATCATCTAATCATGTATCAAATATTTCAAAATCTATGTATCATATGCAGCATAATATTTCACCTGCACAGCCAACTGTCATGCATTATCATACAAAATTCATATTTTCCTTCTCTTCCATGCATAAGAGTGCAACCTATTTCTAAGAAATACTTCTGATTCAATCTGTACATTTCCTGTGTAATGTCCAATCAAGTATAAATTTTATCTTTAACCACACCCTCACTACATGACAAAGTGTTAAACTGAGGATTGGGTTACAAATTACGGCCAAGTTTTCATGCAAACATTGCCCAAAGAATAAAGAGCTGTTTTGTTCTAAGCTGTGTTTTCTCTGCTTATCATGCTACTGTAATCTATGTTACCTTCAAGTTGAAAAAGCTAAAGGAGTCCATCTTAAATAAACAACTTTATACATATGTATTTTGGTCATTTTTACTGTATTTTTTCTGTTTTAAAACTGTGTTTTATACTATTTTTATGGGCTCTTCTTAGCAGTACATGTATATATCTAATGACTTATAAAAAGATTCCTAGTAAGTTCATTATAAACATACAAAAAGCTGACTAACTGATACACGTACTTATTAATAAATATGAGGGAATGAATTTAGTATATTAGTAAATACAAAGAAGAATTTGCATATCTAAGCATCCTTAGAAGAAAGATTTACAACTTGGATACTGATTCTGCACTCTACACTAAATGGTATATTCAAATTTGCAAGTTTTTTTGCTGTTAGTACATATGCAAGTAAATCAATTCAAACACAAATGAAGATAGAATTAAAAGACATTTGTAATTTGGTACATAGAAAATATTATGGTCATATTATTTTGAAATAAATTTCAATGCATCAAGTACATATATATCAACGATGATATTTGATAAAATGCTCTAACTTGTATATGTAAATCTTTATTTCTCAAAGATTTTAATGCTACACGACAATTTCAAAATATCTGCATTTCACACCTTTTGTAAAACAACACAGGACACCCATGCATTGTTAGAATACAGTACAATGAACTAATGATTTCATTTTCATCACTTCGGACAACAATCATGCCATTTTCAAGTATGTCACATTTTTCATGCAAATATCAAAACAAATTTACTTATCAATAGCTATTGAGTTGCAAATTAACCTCTCTTTTAAGAAAAACAAAATTGGTAAGACAAAGCACATTCAATGAAAAATCACATATCAAGAGAAAAAAGACAGAAAAACTTGGATTAGTGGTATCAAAATTTCCAAATTTTTTTTAGCAGAGTCTGGTTTCACTAAGTGAAGTGTACTGACAAGTGCAGACAAATTCTATAATTTAGAAATTCATATATGAAATTATACTATACACCATGAACTCAATATCACTAGCACTTTTGCTCCGAAAATGGTTTCGATTTTTTGCATTGCATTCAAAGTGTTATACTAAAATTACATATTGAAATAAAAACATTCAGGTGTATGAAGTTAATCTGCAGATAATTTAATCTACTTGTGTAAAAACTGCTCTAACAGAAAAAAAGACTTTGACAAAAAAAAGGTATTAAAAATTTGCTAAAAAAAGTGTGAATGACAAGAATCAAGACTCTATAGCTTACCCGCTTGCCTCCCCTGAATGCCCTGCGGGGCATCTGCTGTTCAATGAGGTCTGCAGCAGAGGTGGGCGGAGATGAGGCCCTCATACTCTTACAAACTTCATATGTGTCCTCAGGAAGTGGGGGGAGACCATACTTTTCCCGAACTTCATTTTTCTTGTTCTGTAATTCTCGGAGTCCACCAAGGGAAACCTATTCATCAGGCATGCAAGATGGTTAATGAGCCATCAATAAAGAGGGATTTCTCCCACTACAGCATTTTAAAAAGTAATATTATTGAAATATCTAACAACCCTTTTGTTGTAAGTTTCCACATTCACTTTTCATTAATTAGCACATTTCTCAAGTTGCTGCAGGTCTCTCACCCACTGGTCTGAAACTCTCTGGTTGTCAATCTCAATTTGTACAGTCCAGTGAACTACAGCCCCACAGCTAATTTCTCATGTTAACAGCAAAATAAATTTTACATCTTGGAATTTTATTTTTAAGACTGAGGACAACTATTTTATTGACAACTGTGATAATCTACCTGTATGACAGAGAAATGGACTGTGTAAGACAGAACTCCCAATTACAGAGGTAACTTGTAACTTACCAGTACTACTTTCCACAACAAAAGCAGGACTTTCTTCATGGGGAAGTGTGGTGCACTTCCACTACAGAACTTGGTGATCATACTGAATAATATCACAGGCAGAATATCCTCCCCAACTAGAGGGGTCACTGTAAAAATACACAGGTCATGGTTAACATGGACATTTATGTCTGCTGATTATTTATGCAACAAGTATTTAGTAATAGTCAACGTTTTGACGGTGGCCGCTTATCGGTAGAAGTAACTATAAATAAATCTAACTTAAATACATGTATTCCCCAATGCCTTTATATGTATGCTCTATGTAACATTTTGGATATAGGGAAGATATTGGAGCACACACTAATGTCACAACAATGCAGGAGTTAATGCAATTTTATGACACTGGATTCACTGCAAGCAATGGTTACCTAAATCTTCTATGAAGATACTTCTATTGTGTCTTTGTTCATCAGATTCTGTCTCCAGTGGACATCTCATTACCTCCACCATAATGTACAGCACATTCAGGATTAACCTGTCAGTACAATGTCATGTGTAAACTACACTAGGGTAAGGCAGTTTTTTTTTTCAATTTTGCATTTTGAAAAAATATCCCTGAACATTATTTATCACTAGACACAGCATTAAAACTGTATGAAACAGTAGATTTTTTTAAAAATATTATTTTGTACCATGGTATGAGTAAATTTTAACTGTTTACATCTAGCTATTACAAAATTTCATGTCCCAAAGGGACACAATTAAATTGATTCTGGAGTGTATTGGTTGCTGTATATATGTGATTTTGGTTTTACAGCCTCCTGTCTGTACCTTAAGTCACTGCTGTCTGCCACTGAAACAGCCAGTTTTCTCATTGCTATAGAGGCTGCAGAAGTATTCCTACAAGTCAAATAAATACAATCAGCACTATTCAATGACATATCATATAGCATCACAAAACAGCTCCCCAAAGAGAACTAAAATATTCTCATAAAAACATGACTCAAACTTTCCCTGAAAAATATGTACACACAATAACCAGAAAAATTACAACATGAAAAGTAAATGAAACTCTGCATGAAGTGTAGATAGGACTTACTCCATCTCCATAGAGAGCAGCTCCACGAATGACACAAACAGCCCCTGCTCATACAACAGGTGGACGTTTCTGTGGGTCCAGTCTTGATGTTCCTCCTCTGAAATGCACTCCCCATACACACCTGCAATACAGCAATGTAATGTTTACCTATATTGCAATACTTATACAATCAATGGTTACATTTATGAATACAGTCTGTCAAACACCCACAAACAATATGTGGATACCATGTATATGTCAAAGCCCAAAAAAGAATAAGAGGTTGAGGTCAGCCATGGCCATAAAAGTAAGATGAGCTCACTTTTGATCTCAATCTCACTTTTTCACTAACAATTATTCCTTTTGTAAACCTGAGATTGAGATCAAAAGTGAGCTCCTCTAAATTTTATGGTCTTGGGGTCAGAACTTATTAATTCAAAGTTTAAACATCAATAACTCATTTGCTCAGAAAATACAGCAATTTTTTTGTGCTTCCCACTTAGGATATCAAGATTTTATTGTACTCATGAGAATTAAGACTTTCAATGCACATAGCAGATTAAAAGAAAGGGATTCTGGTCCTTACCTTGTACGAGATATAACAGAGACCACATGGCATTAATTCTGCGTTCCTTGTCTGCGACCTCTAGTTCATTCTGGAGGAACACAATATGTTTCCTTTGAACAGCCTCATCAGACTTTGTCCATTTGTTTTCACCTGATGGATCATCACAGATATATAAGTAAATGTATGATGTAATAAACATATTTTTATAAATTAATTAATTATTTCAGTTTTAAATGATATTGTGAATTCACTTTCTGCCATAACATTTTCTTCCAGAAATATTACATAAATGCCAGTACAAGCCATTGCTTACATTCTGTATTTATAAATCCTTCTTCAAACTTTTTTCTTGATGATTCAAATTCCGAGTCCTCTGTATAACTGAAGAGTTCTGAAAACATTCACAAAAAGGAATGGTAGAATGTCAATAATATTTAATCTTTGGTGATGAGCATGAAATGTAAATTTAAAGCTGTAAAATATCATGAATATGTAACGTTATAATCTAAAATTGTCAGACCAAGTATAAAATTGTAAACAAAATTGAGAGACTTTGATAAATGTAAAACTTTTTTTCAATTTGGGAAAGAAATGGTATGGAAATCTTATTCATTTGGAAAAATTGCATTTTATTTCGTGCATTTTTATTTATTTGTGGAAACCTAGTGGCGTAATAATTTATTTCATACCTGCTAATTCTGCATTGTATGTGTCTGCATCATCATAAAGAAATTCTATATCTGGGCATTCTGTCATACTCTACAAAAAACCAAACATTACTCTTGTGTATATAATAAATCAGAATGATATAACAAGAGATGGAAATAATGATTTCAAGACATCTTCCTGACATAAACATCGCTTTTCGTTTCTTTAAAAAAAAAAAAAAATACAAGGGGAAATCTAAATAACAACGCACTTCGTTGAACATATTATTTCTTTGCAATTAGCTGTGTATTACCTCTGAAAGTGAATCATCTCTTTGTCTCCGTAAAATATCTCGTAATTTTGGCAGTCCCTCTTTCTTACTTCCAGCCTCCATCTTGAATTTGTTTGCTGAAGAGTTCATACAAAGGGACGCAATCACGGTCGACATAAAATCAAAGTACTGAGGGTACTTAAAATTCACACAAGCCAAGGATTGGACCCGTCCTATGATCAATTAGACACTGCTAGATAGGTGTGCTCTACTGAAGATATATCTAGACTCTGGTAAATGAAAACCTACTTAAATGTAACTGCATGTAAATAAAACAAATAATTCTTTTACTTAAAAAGTGCAGTTTAGTAATCAATTTTACCATAGGCACTCCCCAGCTTAATTGTTAAAAATATATATCTACTATACTATAAACGTTATGTTTATAGTATAGTAGATATATATTTTTAACAATTAAGCTGGGGAGTGCCTATGGTCTTTGTCCCCAATATAACTCATCAACCTTGGACTGTCCTCTCACAATTAGTACCTTTTCAACAAGTCTATTCAACAGCTAGGATGTTGTGATGCAATGGCAATGGTAATGAAAGAGAGAGCAGACAACACCACAGATTTGAAAACATAGGCTCTACTCCAATATGCTTCTACATATGTTATCGCACATGAAAATATTTTAACGTGCGAAATTGAGCAGGATGACAATGTAGGCCAGAGACTATTTTATATAAATTGGAGCCATAAGTTTCATAATTATATAATTGTATATTAAATATGTAACAGGAAAGGAGAAAATGTATGACTGGATCTGGAATCAAACCCAGGACCCCTGCATCACCAGTCAGGTGCTCTCTCTACCAACTTAGCTACCCAGCCATAATATCCATGACCCAAACCACTACAAATATTTGTAATATATATATATATATATATATATATATATATATATATATATATATATATATATATATATATATATATATACATGTATATATATATATATATATATATATATATATATATATATATATATATATATATATATATATATATATATATATATATATATATATATATATATTATTAATTATATATATAATTGTGCTAAAGGCATCAAAATATAAATTCCTCTAAAATGAGATATACCCTGGTATCTGCTCATCAGAAATCAATCTTATCCAATTGCTTGCATGAAATTTCTCCCCCTTTCAATTCTTCCTCAGTGAAGCCAGTGGTTTCATGCTTATCAATTTTTGGTTCCCTCAAAGTAAGTTTAAGAGCTATGTTTTACATATGCATTGTGATATTATTTTATTTGATGATAATACTTTGCATAAATTAGGAGATTACATTAAAAATTAACTGGCATATAATTTTGCAAATTCTAAAATGTACATGAAAGAGGTATCAATAATTCACAACCAAAATAAAATGGCATCCAAAACTGGAAAACATAAAATATACTTGGTTCAAATGGCAACTGAAACTTGAAATATGTAATGACTAGAAGTAAATGTTCTGGTAACAAGACTCTGCATAGTACATGTATATGTAACAGATGGAAGACTATTTCTCTAACACTTCCATATCAACATTGAATCAGATATCATGATTTAAGGAGATAAAATACACACACCTGATTAAACTCAATTGATAAGGGAACAAAAAATAAAAAATACATAACTCAAATTTGTGAAAAATCATAAGATGACCCCCCAAAAAATTTAAATTAAAAAACTACAATAGAATAGTACTCCTGATCCATAATTATCCAGGTATATGCAGTAAATCACTGTTTTATGGATAGGAAATTATTTAAGCCAGACAAAATGAAGTAAATTGGCATTCAAATCTGTATTGATTTTACTAATAATGTAATTCTGGTTGAAGCAAACCCTTTGATTGGCTGCAAATAATAGTTCCTAATGTACAACTGTTTTGCCTCATCACAATATGACTATGTCAAAAACAAATTCAATTCGCTTGAAATTGCATTAAATCTTGAACAATTTGAAGTCATTCTTGAGTGGGGAATAGTTTTCTATTTTACTCTACATGTTAGAAAATTAAATTATAAGGAATAACTTTAATAGCAACCCAAGTTACACTTGTATAACCTGGATTAAAACAGGTTTCACTTTTTAATAATACACTTCACAGTTTATAAAGCATAAACTGTCCCAAACCAGGTTAAACAATATAACTTGGGTAGCTATTTAATTCATTCCTTAATTATACTTTAATCTTTACAAAATATCATAATACTGTATATTCCTTTAAACTTACAAATACACAAATTACTGCAGTAAAAACATAAATAATTCAGAAGAAATATGTCATTTAGTGATGAATGTATCCTGAAAAGCTTTTGGTTAGGCATAAATTATTTTGGTAACTGGAAATATATATACATTAAAAGTTTTAACATGAAATCCAAGAAAAAAATTAAAATTCCTGTTGTCAAGCATTAATGTTCTTAACCTCTTACCTATCCTAAAAAAAGACAATTTTCATCTTTTAAATAATTTGTGATCAAAGGAATAATATCTACTAAAGTATTTCTTCAGACCAAACAAATTACTTCAAGTGAAAAGTATACTATTTACATGAAACATGAAGAAGTATTTTTACCACATGTAAATATAAGTTAGGTGCACAGATGAGAAAAAGCATATAAAATTAACATAGAATGCCCTGTTTATACAAAGATTTCCAGTAAAATTTGTAAAGCAGTGCATTAACTGCTTGAAAGAATTAATTACAATTAATATATAATTGTATAATTTCCTGATTAAATAAAGGTTTCCACTAAGTGAAAATACATGTAATCTATTAGTATTACATTACAGTACATGAATACAAATTTTAAGAAAGGTTTTCAGAAAATGCAATGTACAATGCAGTGCATATAAAAGAACACAAATGTATAACTTACTGCTTATACCTAATTATTACATAGATTATCAATGTACAGAATACTAATTTTAAATTTGTGATTACAGCATGTATTTACAATTTACAGTTGAATTACTGATACAAAGAATTACTGTATAGTGTACAAAATAATTACGTGGAATCATATTCATCTGAGAAGTCCCTGTTAGTTGTAAACAAAATGCCTGGAATTTGTCCAATCTTCACATCAGTTCCATTGCGACTGAACTTAGATTTACTGAAACTAAAGCGCACACCTGAGCAGGTGACAGTGCTGAGTCCATTCTTCCCTTGATACGTATCCAGCCCATCAGAACTAATAAGTTTCACCACTAACGAATGCTTCTTTCCTGGTCCAATATCAATGGGTGTCTCTAAGAGAATGGGATAAGTGTGCTGGCTCTCACTGGTTTTTAACCTGGTTTTTCTGGTGACTTTTTCTACTTCCATCGTATCGTAAATGGAGCATGTCACATCATACACTCCCTCACCAATGTACGATCCATATACAAGAATACCGTGCAGGGAGATCTTTTCATTGCAGGTGAAGGAGATGGCATCCGGTTCACCACCACAGTACCATGAACCATCCTCATAAACGGTTTGATACCGGATACAAGTCTGTATGGGCCGACTGTCATTTACGTCAGAGTGGAAAGATGTAGTCATGGAGGTAGGAGAATCCAATCCTGAATATCTGTTTATTGCACTGAACTTACATTTTCTACTTCTCTCCTTCTTGAAGAAAAACTTGAAGAGTTCGACTTTTTCGGCATCAGTCAGTATGTCCATATCTGCTACAACCTCAGTGAAATACTGATCTCCTAGTAAAGGAAATCTAACCAAATAAATAATGTCCCCCAAGACCTTTCTTTGGTTTTCTGCATTAATGTCCAAACCTTTTTCCTCACATTGAGCAACTGCCCATTTCAAAGCAGCATCTAAAACCGACTTCTCATCAATCTGCAATTCATCACTGGATAAAATAATTTCGAGACACTTGGAAGAAAGGCTTAGAAAATCTTCTGAATGTAAGACTTCTTTAGTGTGTCGACAGATGTAGCTCATGCATTTCCGCTGAAGTTCATGTTCATCATACAGATGTGACTGTTCAAGAATAGCACAGATGTTCTCAGTGGTCTGATCCAGTTCAAGATACTGAATGCATTGTTTCACCAGAGCCTGGATGGAGTATTTCTTGGCAGCATACAACAATGGCAGCACTATGTCTGGCTGTAAGTCTACACTGTCTGTGTAGAGGAACCTGTAATACAAAGAGTGAATATGAAATGGGAAAGAATTGACCAATAAAGGATGTTTCCACATGTGTCATTAATTTTCATTTTTCAAACTTTTTCCCAACAATATTTACCAGAGTCCACATTTTGTTCAGAAAGTGATATGATTGAAACTGATATGGACTAAAACAGCATAGAAGATTACTACTGTAAAACCTTCCCATGGTAAACATGGTAAATAGTGTAAATTCCTTCATACAATTTCTTTCTGAAATGCTGTTAAGACTTACTCTAGTAGTGCCTTAAATACAGGTGGTTCAATATCAGGTAGAGTTATTTCCCTTTGTGTCTCAGCAAGGGGTCCACAGAACATGGAGAAGAAAACACAACTCCTGCTGACCAAAACATATTTGTGTGCCGCCACCTTCTCCTTGTTCTCCCCCACCAAGAATTCTATGTCACAGGCGATCTGATTGGTCCACATATATTTATTACAATACTGTATGTTCCTACAGGATTGCCAGTCATCAATGATGGAGGCTGCCATTCTCCTGAAAGAAACAGAACAAAATGAATAACTTTATCAGCACAAATTCTCTTCAAAGGATACATGTACCTTGTTAGATTTAATGTTCAGGGCTATATGCTGCAAAGAAAGAACGTTCTATCGTTAAAATGATTATTGTCCTACGGACCCGGTTTGTGGCTAGGGTCTGTCCTTAGAACATGTAGACAATACTGCAGTGCCCTGTACAGCACTCCATATTGCTTAGGCATAAAAATACGAAAATATGCCTAGTTCTTTGAATGCATAGTTACTTTTATGTTTCTATACTTCATCGTCTCTATGTAAAGTCGTTATATCGTTGATTTTATCTTTACCCTTTGATAAATTCGATAAAAAAATTACAAATATTTACCTTTCACCTCTTCATGGGCCTATTCGGGATTACACAAATCGTACGCTAAACAATTCGAATCTCTCCCTTTTATAAAGTTATGAGTAACTGTAATTTGTAATATATCTCTGATATAAATTTAATGATTTGCAATAAAATCAAATTGTTTTAAAACGAATAATGAAAAATGATAGCGATATAGAGACATTTTTAAAAACATAAATACCGAAGAATAAAATACGTATGCATGATCCCGATTAATTTTTCTGTGTTTATGAAACGCTTTCCTTCTTACTTCCACTGTTCACTTTTTCCAAACGTTTACTTGTGATCAAATCAAAAGACTTCCCGAACTGCCTCCTGACTGAGTTCTTCTGGTTTTGGGTCGGTTTGTGTTTAATCTTTCCACCATACAATCGCTGATATTTCAGATTTCTTACATGTGGAACGCAGAGGTATTTTGTTTTTAGAGTTGAACTGTTATCAATTATCTTGTAGGTTGACGCAAGCAGCTGTTAAGCAACTGTTTTGACCCTGAGGCGTGACATATTGCATAATCTTAACACTGAAGGTTATCATCTGCATCTGAGCCAGCCACCGACTCTACCAGAACAAACATGGCAAATAAAGTTCTCACCATGGATGCAGTGAATCCTAATATAAGAGACATGGAATATGCAGTCAGAGGCCCCATAGTAGCTAGGGCCACAGAATTAGAAAAGGACCTAGTCAAAGGTGCTAATAAACCCTTCACATCTGTGATGAAAGCCAACATTGGAGACTGTCATGCAACAGGCCAAACACCCATCACCTTTATCCGTCAGGTTTTGTCACTGTGTGCCTATCCGGATATGATGGACACTTGCGGATTCCCAGAAGATGTTAAAGAAAGAGCCAAGCGATTACTAGGAGGGTGTAAAGGGGGAAGCATTGGGTCCTACTCAGCGAGTCCTGGAATAGATGTTATAAGGGAGGATATTGCTAAGTACATATCTGATAGGGATGGAATTCCTAGCAAACCAGAAGATATCATGTTGTGTACAGGAGCAAGTGATGGGATAAAGACAATTCTAGCAATGTTGATGACTGGGAAATTAGGGAAGGATCGAGCTGGTATCTTGATTCCTGTCCCCCAGTACCCTCTGTACTCAGCAACCCTCACCGAGTTTAATGCGCATCCAATCCCTTATTATTTAGATGAAGAGAATCACTGGGGTCTTGACGTAAAGGAGTTAAAAAGAGCCATAAATGAAGCTAAATCGAACTGTGTCCCCCGAGCTATTTGTGTCATTAATCCTGGAAATCCAACTGGACAAGTTCTAACCAGACAAAACATTGAAGATGTTATCAAGTTTGCTAAGCAGGAGAAACTTATGATACTAGCTGATGAGGTTTACCAACATAATATTTGGGGAGAAGGCTGTCAGTTTTTTTCCTTTAAGAAAGTGCTATCGGAAATGGGCCCTGAATACAATACAATGGAGCTGGCTTCCTTCATGTCTGCATCTAAAGGGTTCATGGGAGAGTGTGGGGCTAGGGGAGGGTATGCTGAGGTGGTCAATTTACTCCCTGATGTCAAGGCTTGCCTCATGAAATCCATATCAGCCAAACTTTGTCCACCAATTATTGGACAAATTGTGATGGATTGCATTACAAATCCTCCAAAATCAGGAGATCCCTCCTATGAAAAATTCAAACAAGAAAAAGACATTGTCCTAGCTCTCTTAAAGAAAAAAGCAAGTATGGTCACAAGCCTATTTAACTCGATAGAGGGCATTAAATGCAATGAAGTCCAGGGTGCAATGTACGCATTTCCCAGAATCTTCCTACCTCCAGCTGCAATAGAAGAAGCCAAGAAAAGAAACCAGACCCCTGATGCTTTCTACTGCTTCCAGCTGTTGGAAACCACTGGAATCTGTGTGGTGCCAGGGAGCGGGTTCGGAGAGAAAGAGGGAACTTACCATTTTAGGATAACTATCCTTCCTAAAATAGAGGAGATGACATCAGCTCTGGAGCAGTTCCAGGAATTTCACCTGGCTTTCTTAGCACGATTCAAAAACTAATTAATTCAGGTAAGTTCTGAATAATTATAATATACCTTGATTTATATGCCAACTTTTTAATTATTATTGCCTGTATATATAATTTTGATATAATATATAATAATTAAATAATTCAGCATGTTCAGAAATACACATGCAGGGATAGACATTAACTTTCAGATTCACTTGCCCTTCGGGCAAGTGATCTCAAACTTTGACTTGTCCGAATGGAAAACTTGGTTGCCCAAAATTAGGATAGAAGTTAAGAAAAAAATTATTAATTACTGTAAATGTTATGGAAAGAAAAAAAAATGTGACGAAATACACTACTGTCAATTTGGCATTTTGAGATACCTGAAAAAAATTGTACAAAAACGTATATCGCTGTAAATATAACCTGTTAACACACACTACCATACAGCAATAACCCTCCGTTTCCTTTTAATAAAATTCATATTTTTGAAAATTATTTGCGGTAGGATCATTTTGCGATTCGTGATTCTCAGAGATAACTGTGAAGCAACGCTGAAGGAAGATAGTTGCTACGAAACATACTTAGTACCTCTTATCTTGATCAGGATACATCGTGTTACAACGTACTTATATTCTGTGCGTGAATAAATAAATAAATAAATAAATAAATAAGAAGTTAACAAAATTTGTTAGACGTAGAGCGTATTTACTACGAAAGAAAATAACGAACTCGATTTTTTGAATGAACGGTATAATCCAGAAACGCTACCAAGAAATTTCGATTGAAAACATTGTCAGTCAGGTGCGTGGGGGGAATCAAGTGTTCAATCTATTGTTTTATTTATAAATTAATGTAAACTAAATATGTACATTTGTATGAGAAAAATTCACTTGCCCGATCGGACAAGTATGTCGACAATTTCACTTGCCCGAACTAAGAATTTACTTGTCCCGGGCAATCGGACAACCGTTAATGTCGATCCCTGACATGGTAGCATATTGTTGAGAGTTTAAGCATAAGATTAGTAACATTCAGGAAAATAGGATTTTGGTCCAAATTCCTTCAAAATATATATGTCTAATTCAGTATTTTCTTATTTCTCACACAGTTAAGAACTACAAGCTCTAGAATAAGAAGAAAATGTTGAATGCGGCTGCATTTAAATTATGAATATTTAAATAATACGTGCATATAATGATGCTCCTCATTGCACCAAATTTAACTAAATTAGTTTTATCCCTAAATTTTACCTTATTTTCCAGAAATTAATACATTTTATTATTATTATTTTAATAAGAACTGTGAGTTTTTTAATTTACTTTTTTAAATTTTCTTCATGAAAGATGTTTTTGAAGCTGTTGTTCGTGTCTCACGTCTATAAACTGAAAGTACCGGTAGAATGGAAATCAATGATATTTTTTGGGTAATAGATGTGCATGTATGTTTATATATTCTGCAGAAATACATTTTATTACCATTGGTCATAAGTACGTTCGTACAGAAGCAAACATCTAGTGTTATTTTTTGTTTTACTTTCTTTATACAAGGTAGTATGTACCTTACCCTTGGAATTTTTTCTTTTTATCTGAATATGTACATGTATGTATGTCAGTATGTGGAGATTGATGCTCCACTCACTAGAAGTGGTTTGGTGCTGTTTATTGTTTATAACAATGTTAGAGCTGTGCTGAGGTTCCAGCTGTGCTGAGGTTGTTTCTTAAGGTTCATCATTCTCCTGGTCACCCACAGATAATTTCCCTTAATGCTGACAATTATTCAATAAAAATCTATTTTATAATCAAATTGCACAAAATTTCAAATTACCATGCTGGGCAAAATTTGACAGAAATGGCCTTTTAAATTGACTATTTTATAAAGTGATAATATTTATGAATCCCAGTTAGAGTTATATCTCTTATCAGAGGGTCAGTGAACCTTAACAGGAGATATAAAGGTATTGTTACTGTAGCTTTATAGAGTGATCATTGTTTTGTTTCCTTTTTGTTATTTTATTACTGTACTGTAACAGTATCATGTAATTTTTTTAAAATGAATTATTCTGTAAACTGATATGAAGTAAAGTCTCGATGGACTAAATATGTATATTTAATATATCATCAGTGAAAGACACTGGCTTCTTGTTGTATGAAAGTCAATGATATTGGGAAAAAGGGAATAAGGACTAGTACTCTGGGATATAAAGAGTTTTTCCTTGGTTTTATTCATAGATTTAAAAAAAAAAATTAAAAATGTTAATTATACATTTATTGACTGGGTTCAAGAGAGTTAGAACCCTCAGATGTTTGATTAACTCATTTTGATTAGTATCTTAGCTGTATGAAAACTAAATAATCAATTACCAAGCACAGTCCAGTATTATTTCACTGGTTTACTTGATGTGATTTAGATATTTTACAATTTATGTGTATACATGCAGGTTGGTAACATTTCTCCCATCTGTTTCACAATGTTACAGTGGTTTTCAACACCTCAGACTACAGTGAATGAATTCTTTTTGTATATTAAACAACATATTCTAACATTGTACAAGAATGAATACTGGTACTCTAAGTCATTGAGATATGTTTCACTGTTTTATTGATGTCAATGGAATTTGTGCCATATTGTTTAATTATGTGTTTTTTTTTCATTTGTCATAGAGTATATTATGTTGAAGTTTGATCACGCTCACTAGATTTTTAAGACAGTATTTCTTTTGTCTAATTCAATGTATTTTGCTCACAAATTTATATGTGACTACTTTAAGATTTGGAAAAAAAGAGTAAAATATTACCAACAACTTAAATATACATGTTTTTACCAGTACATGTATAGTTTTCATTTATAATATTAGATAGCTCGAATTTTATGTTCAATCGTGAAATCAAAATTGATACAATTTTAAACAATTAGTTTGTGAAAATGCGAAATTTGTATACCCAGAGCTCCAGATGGGGCTAAGTTGATCATATATTTTTGTTACATTTTATCATAAGTTTAAATTCTCTTTCCTGAGCATCTAAGATACAGTTTTATTCAATGTGATGCATATAATGAACACAAGTCCCCAGTAAGATATAAAATTTTTATTACACGAGTCCAGAGTTCCAGTCCTTTGTGAGACTGAGATGATCATTGCCTTAGAAAACTCGCAATAAACTGTACTTGGGTGACCGTCAAGGAGCATGGACCTTTTTTAGTTATATGGCACATGTTTTTCAATGAATATTTTTATTTTGTTCTTTTAAACACAAAATTGAACTGTGTGTAAATATTCTTTTTGAATGAGTAACACATCATTAGAACTTATCTTTATTTTTTAACACTGCATGTTTATTTTTTATTTCATATCCAGTAGAGATATGAGTTCAATGCCCTTAGCTTAATTGTTCTAAATTTTATTGTGATGAGTTTTCCTATTTTATAAAACCTGTATATTTTTACATGGGACTTATAATAAATATTACAAAGGTATATTTTGTACCGGGTACATATTGTTCAATGTCACCAGAATGATTTGTGTTCCACAACAGTTGTGTATTTAGAACATGTTATAGAGAGGATTATTTTCTATTTGCATATGTATGTATGTATACAAAAATAAAATCAACAGGTTTAAACTATATGACAGGTGGTCAGTTTTGTTACAGTGTACAACATACATCGACTTGTTGTCAGTCTGCTAATGAAATGTATGGAGAATAACAACCAGTGTTCAAGCTCAAAAGTCCATTAAAAATACAAATTTGAAGCAGAGCAACACGGACATCTAAAACATCAGATGTGGGATCTGGTGCCATGGAGGACCCATACCAAAATTAAGTACAAATTAAGTACGAAAAAAAAGTACAAAAAAAAGGTCATAAAAAGTATACTTTTTTCGACTAAATTTGGAACAAGGGATTTGGTCGTTCCAAATTGAGTCAAAAAAAGTATACTTTTTTGTGCTTTATGAGAACTTAGATTCTTGGTTACAAAAAAAAGATCATAAAAGTATACTTTTGGTACATTTCTATATTTGAGAAAAGTACATAAAAAGTATAATTGGAAGTACAGAAAAAGTATATTCTTAAAACTAACATACAAAAGTACAGAAAAAGTATATTCTTAAAACTTACGTACAAAAAAGTACATCTGGAAAAAAGCACAAAAATGTATGAAGTACAAAAAAGGTATACTTCCGGTACAAAAAAAGTATACTTCCAGAAAAAATTACAGAAATGTATGAAGTACAAAAAAGGTATACTTCCAGTACAAAAAAGTATACTTCCTGTACTACAAAAAAGTATACTTCCAGAGAAAAGTACAAAAATGTATGCAGAAAAAGTATAAAAATAGTACTTCTTTAGATTGATGCTTAAAAAGTACAATAAAATGTCAAAATTAAATGAAAGTACAAAAAAAGTATACTTTTTAGTTGGTACAAAAAAGTAGGGAAAAAGCACCCCCCCCCCAAAAAAAATAAATATATAGCAAATAGCCCCCCCCCCCTTAAAAAAAAAAAAAATAAATACATATATTATTTTGAAAGAACAATGAAAAACCTCAAAAATGGCCATTAAGCTCAGATCATCTCCGCTCCTTCACAGTCTAGTCATCCCATCTTTCCCTCCCGTTTGAATTTTCTTGCTGACACAGTTCAGTGCACTAACCTTTGACCACATAGCAGTGTTAATGTCACCCATTTTTTTCACTGATCTTCATTTGAATATGCTAAATGATTTCAGTCTTCAAGTACTTTTCCTTGGGTTCTGCAAATAAAAAAAGTTAAATAATCAAAGCATATTTTTTTCAGTTTTAAATCAAACATGTTCTTAAAAAGCAGAATTCCAGTGCTTAATACATGGCAGACTGACATATAGAATCATATATTCAGTTTAATGTTCAAATAACTTGAAAACCAGTTAAAACTCAAAATTCTTATGTGAAAATCCCAAAAATTAACCCCCGATCATCCCTATCACTTATAAAAGTATATTAAGGGCAGACAAGCCTATACTAATTTGATATGTCTATTTTGTATTTTACAGAAATCAAATTAGATTAATATGTACTTACTGATGATAAGATACACTTAAATTGTTGAAGCATTTTCCTATGGCTCTGCATGTTTAATATATAGTGAGATGCTCATGGCAAAAAACGCATGCATGCACTGCTGAAAATTATAAAAGAAAAATCAGGTAACTTGAATGTTTCAAGAACTTTTCCGGCATTATATCCACACACAAACATTTAATTACTTTCATTTTTTTTTAAACCTGACAATGATTTTGAAAAATTGTAAAGTGAGTTTGACATCCCTGTCTAAATTCCTAATGCTATATGAGCAAATAGAAAAATAATCATGTGTCTCAATATAATGTTTATATAGCCCCCCCCCCCCCCCTTTAAGTTCTTTTCACCATGGAAAGATGATCAGTTCAACTTTAAATTTTTCAGATACATGTAAATGCTGATACTTTTTGCTTGTTTAATCAACCACATGATTATTACTACCCCTTCAATCCCCCCCCACCACCACCACCACCACTAACCACCACCAACCACAACACTCACACTATCCTCCCTTTTAACATGTTTAACAAAAATCCATTACTTTTACAAACTTTAATCGTACAAAATTCAGTAGATTTGATATGTCTTTTTTTTTTTATCAAGCCAAGACTTAGTTAGGATACAGTAAATATTCCCAGATACTGACCAATGCTGACTGTACTATAAACCTATTGCATGAATTATACTGAAATATTTGAAGAATTGAATATGTCAAGGAACTAAATGATTCATGTTACACTGAGCCAGAGAAAAAGCATGATTCAGCATGTTAACTTAAGTTTATATACATCGTCATACTGATCAAAACAAACCAGAAATCGAAGACACAAATGCCCACAATTACGTAAAATCTACATTGAAATTCTCCACTGAATACATTTCTAAAGTGGTAAAATGCATTTCCTGCTAACAACATATAAAATTTCAATATAAATATAGTCTTACCGACTTTTTTTAATCTCCTTTTTGTTCTCGGCATTTCCATCCCACCAATTTTCAAATCGTCTCTGAAAAAATCCGCGCTTCGTTGTTGACCAATCGTAGACTTCGTAAGAATCACGTGATCAAAAAAGGAAATAAATAATTACTAAATTAGTTCATAAAAACACCCAAAATTCCCGTAATAATGTTTTTTAAGTCATCAAATTTATTTTAAAGCCGTTTTCTGTGTAATACTCGATAGGTAGCTTTACCATCATCGTGATCGCCAGTTCGTTTTATGATCGTCGTCGCCATTTTGTTTGTTTAGTTTTGTTTTTAACTGAAATTATTTTATTTAATAAAGCCACAAGAAATTCTGAATGCCCTTGTTAACTGCTAATTAAGACATCCTAATCAAACTGGCAGTCTTCATTCTCAATGTCGAAATATCTGTTACAGCATGGGATTTTGCACATGCTTCTTATATAAATCGTGTACATGTATAAACATGATGAAGTTCCTTGTGATAAATAAAACGATGGGCATGGTGCATCTTGGAGGCTTTGTATTTATATTCGTGCCTTCCTATTACCGTTTTTAATTATTAAAATATGTAACACTATAAACCCTATTTTACTTTTATTACTGTAGTCCGCATTTCTCATTAATATGCTAATCCGTTTTATTTACCATGATAGCCAATTATTACAGGTAATTTCGTAAAGATTCACCAAATCTTATTGTGAAATGTGCAACTTCACAAGTTTCCACAAGTCTAGACAACAAAGATCATTGAGTACAATTACCTGTGTCACTTGAAATCAACATGGTTTGCACACGAGAGAGAGAGAGAGAGAGAGAGAGAGAGAGAGAGTTGTGAAATATAACTGGACTTCTTGTTCATGTTGATATATAGAATTCCCTTTGCAGAATATTGTAGAAGATTTCCCATTAAATAATGTTACATTTTTGTATTTCCCGAGAGAGAGAGAGAGAGAGAGAGAGGGGGGGGAGGGGGAGATAATTACTCAAGACTATTCAGATTTACAATGTAATTTACAGAAGGTTCACGAGATCTTGATGATTATAATAACATGAATAATTTAGGACTTCTGTTGAATATAAAATGGACACTGTATGAGTGAAATATTGATACATGTATATAAGACTACCCCCCCCCCCCCCATCCTAATTTTCAGAACTGGACTACTTGTTAATGTTGATATATAGAATTCCTTTTGTAGAATATTGTAGAAGATTTCCCATTAAATAATGTTTCATTTTTGTATTTCCGGAGAGAGAGGGAGGGGGAGGGGGAGATAATTACTCAAGACTATTCAGATTTACAATGTAATTTACAGGAGGTTAACTAGATCTTGATGATTATAATAACATGAATAATTTAGGACTTCTGTTGAACATAAAATGGACACTGTATGATTAAAATATTGATATATGATATATTGATATAAGACTACCCCCCCCCCCTCCTGATTTTCAGAACTAAAATATTTCGTAGGGTGAAGAGAGAAAACTAAAGGAGCAATAACAGATTTTTTAATTCTCTATGAATTATTCAACTGAACCAATAATCTTAAAACCATTGGCATTTGTAACAATAATGTTCACCCCCCCCCTTTTCCTGCAACAAATATACATATACCTATACTCTCATGCTAATAACATAATTGGATTATGAATGCTCACATTAGAATAAAACCATATTAAATCATAAGTATAATGTAATTAATAATTTTTATATGAACAAATTGTTCATTTGATAAAAACTGTGTTCTACACCCCCTGTCTTTTTCCACATTTTTTTAAACACTTTATATCAACATCATACATAGATTGTAATATCATTTCATCACTTTACAGTTTTTTTTAAATTATTGAATAATCTGCTTGAAATTTCAAAATTAATTTTTAACACTGCAATGAGAAAAAAGCTTAGTCCAAATTAGGTTTATGAAAGCTATACCACCAACCGTTTGGAAGTTATGCCAAGGTTTAAGTTTTTCAAAATATGCCAAACTCATTGGTCAAGCTCAGGAAGGTAAAAAGGGTACCCAAAGGAAAGTCTTGACACAGGGAATACACGTGAATTATGAAAGCCCTAGCACACGCCGTTCAAAAATTATGGTCGAAGTTATTTTTTTTTCTGACAGACAGCTGGACAGATGGACAGACCAAAAACTATATCCTCCCAAATCTCCGATTATGGGGACATAAATGAGGAAAATAATGAGGTTTATATCTTGCATTGAAAATCCAAGTCAAGAATTTGTTATGCCCATGAACAATTAGACCAGGTAGACGGTATTATTAAATGTGAAATTTCTGAAGAAATAATAGTGGCTGTTGAGAAACATAAAATTCTTCAAGGTCATTAATGTATTTAAAAAGGTAACAGGTTTTCTCCTTGTTTTGCTCCAACATTACATTCGAAAAACTCCGAGGTCATACCATTTTGCTTCAATAAAGACTAATAATTCCCACATACGTATTTCGTATATATTTGAATCAGTTTCCGTTTTTGTTTTTGTTTTGTTTTTTGTTTTTGTTTTTTTGTTTTTTGGTTTTGGCTTTTTTTTGTTAGAATAACACATAATTGGACTAAGAAATATTAGTAAAGGAATTGAG